AGACACAAAACAGGAAAAGAAAAACAACAGCGGGAACAACAACAAAATTGTAATGAGAAACCTTTTATGGCACAAACACATGCTCGCTTTTCCACCCAACCCCACCCAAAAGCCAAGTTATCTCTTGTGTTCTCTTTTCGTTTGCCTTTTAGTCGTAGTCTAATTTTATTTGGTTTGCTTTGCGCTTCATCTGCTTCTCCATCTCCTTTATCTTCGTCCACTTCTTTCTTTTGTCTACTTAGAATTAATAATTTTTGTTGTTTTTACTTCTTTTTTTCATCTCCCTCGTGTTGTAATACAATATGTTTGTAGGTACTTTATATGTACAGATGGGGTCGAAATCATAGTTGTGGGTCCATAAAAAACATTTTTTTGATATATGGGTCAAATATTTTTTAAAAATATAACAATAAATAAATTATTATTGTAAACTGTTAAAAAGTTAAGATTTTTAAGTTACGAGAACAAATTTGGGATTAAAAATTAAAAAGTGAAGACTTCAACTAACCTCGAGAATATGTTATAATGAGTCCTAAAAAGATAAAATTTTCATAATCTATTATTACTATTATTTTGACAACAACTCTAGTTGCTTTTGTTTTCTTTGCGAGTTTAGGTTGTCGTTCTTTTTGTTTGTTTGATAACACAGTGCAACACGGAAAATGTAAGCGCTGTTTGTATTTAAACCACATACGGCGTTCTTCTGGTTTAACTCGCGTTTGGATACTATAGCGATGCAAAATTTCAAAACCATAAAAATGTTGCAGTGTAATTTATATTACAAAATAAAAATCAAAAAGCCAAACGGAGTGGGGCCAGGTTACGGGTTAGGGATAGGGATGAGTGTGGGCGTTGGGGCACGGCTAAGGGTTAATGGGAGGGAGAGAGAGAGGTGGAATTTGGCAAATGATTTGGATTTGGCAGGTGGGCCCCAATTTTCTCTTTTTTCCTCCCTCCCTCGTGAAATTCATTTCTTTTGTGTTTGCTTGGGTGTGGGGTATGTGTGGGGCGGGGGCGTGTGGGCGTGGGCGTGTCCATTGGGAGCATCGGAGCATCTTTATCGAAATAACATTGTAATTGCTTTTTGATAAATGAAGCACGCGCTGCACAACTGACAGCCGAACAACAAAAGCAAAAACTAAAACAAACAGAACAGCAAGCAGAACAAGACATATGTAAGATCTAGCACCTAAAGTACCCTCTCTTTTTTTCAGGGACCGTAAATAATCATTATTTGAGATTTTTATTTTAAAAGGTCTACTGAGGTTTTTACAAGTTTTAATCAACAATTTAACTGGTTTTTATGCACTTTATAGACATAAACAAATAACAGTTAATTGGCTTTCCAGATTTGTTGAAATGCATATGCTTTGTGGACAAGAGTAAAAAGAACGTTATTTTTGACGTTTAAAACAAAATATCACAGTAGTCTTTTTAAAATAAAAATCTCAAATAATGATTATTTACGGTCCCTGCTTTTTTTCTACCAAGCAATTTGAAATCCAACTAGATTCCAGAGTCAGGTGGACTTCTAATTGGAAACAAGTGGCTTTCAAGTGGAGTTGCAGCTGGAATTGCATTACACTTAAATCAAATTCGACGTACAATTACAATAATACAAAAAACCAAAAACTGGGTATCATAAATATTATGACGAAAACTCTTAATTACTAATTGTTAACATTACAAGTTTTCTTTTATCAAGAAACAAAAATAGATTCAAAACTTAAGGCAAACGTTAAAAGCTTTCAATAAGAATAATTTTGAAAATAAAACAATGCATTAAACATTTTTTGTTGTATAGCAAATATGAGAAAAAATGTATCCCAATCTTTATTTCATAATTTTCTGTATTTTCCTGTTACTTAATTTTAAATTAAGCCTCTTTAAAAGAAAAAAAAAGAATAACAAAGGTATTACACTTTTATATTTGTTAATATATTTGGTAATTTTATAAATATGCTTAGCTTATCAGGAAAAAGTTTATTTGGTTAAATTTGTTTTTTCTAAGTTCAAAATGTTTTTCTTTTATCAATTAACATTTGTATTGGATATAAATACATACACCTAATTTGATATTTTTTTTACATTTATTGAAAACATATACAAAATAGGAAAAGATTGAAATGTACATTTAAAGGAATCAAAGTTCAACACGTTTTTCAGTCCACACTTAGTTGTATTCTTGTTTTCTTTTTTGTCTAAGAATATTCTATATATATGTATTTATTTGGAAGATTTTAGTTGAGTAGTTGGAAATAAAGGTATGGAGTTTAAAGTACAGTAAGCCCCGAACAACCACTTTTTTTGCCACCTAACATTTTTTTAAAACTCATAATTATTAAGTAAATAAAAATCATGGACTTCGACTGGATTTGAACACCTACGTTGTAGGATGAAGGCCATATGAGAGTGTTCACACTGTAGAACATGCACAAACACTGGCCTTCCAAAGGGTATTGTCAGTGGACATGCCCTGGTCCCTAATGGGTATTGGGGTTATAAAAGCAAAATCGCTTGGACGTCTCACTCAAGTGTCGCCCAGACCTAATACCCCCTCCCCCTCCCCGCCCTCTTCCATGAAAAAGGGGAGGGGCACCACGCACCCTGGGAAGACAATTTAAAATGTTGAAAAATGCTCAGCTAATTGGCAGTTGACAGCGTCGAGAGACTGGGATTGGCTTGGCCCACAAAAAAACAACACAGACATCGGCGAGCAGGGGTTAAGGGGGGCGGAGGGGGGTTGAGGAGCTGTAGGGGCATATAAATTTAATTTGGTTTATAAAAAGTGCTTGAGAATGTAGAGAGGGGGGAATGCTGAAGTGGCCGAGCGAACAACAGCTGAACAAAAACGGGGTTGATGGCGCAGCAGAGGGTTAAGGGGATTGGGATCTAATGACAGCCAAGTGGCCACCAAAGCCAACCCCCTTTGCTAATCCAAAAAAAAAATAAGCCAACGAAAAACAAAAAAAAAATTTAAAAAACATCAACAAATTAAAAAAATGCCGAGAAAAGAACAAAAAAGTTTTGAAGCCGAAAAAGTGTGTTTTTGCCGTCAAAGAAATGAAGAAAGAAAAGTTTAATCGGAAATTCTTCAGAGAATACTTTTTCGGCAGCGGCAAAGGAATTTTTCCATTCCATCTAGCCAAAAGAAGTTTCTCATAATCGACACGACCCCTTTTTACACAATCAACCTATCATCCCCCTTGTCTTGAATGCATTTGCATATCCCAACTCTAATTTATATGATAAGTGGGAGAGCTGCGACAAGGGAAAAATCGGGAAAAACTGAAAAACAGACAAGAAGAAGACAGAGGAGAGGAGATGGGAGCACAAAATCGATGCCTTAGTTTTTTGATTATACCGATGGGGTAGCGTACCGTATGTACATATATATATGTATATTCCCATGCCAACCCGTAACAAATAAAAGTAGCCAAAAATGAGCTGCAATAACAAATCAAATTATATTTACATAATAAACGAATAAAGGATAAATGTTGAAAGGGTACCGCACTTCCGCTTCCATCCTTCTCTCCGAATTTATTCATACACAGTATATATATCTAAAATGTGATTGGCATATTTAGTCTTAACGAGTCTTTGCCACAGAAAAAAAGAGGTAACACAATTGGATCTAAAAACTAAAATTAAACTAGGACTGTATTATATATGGCAATCGGTTCAGACTCTACAAAGTTCTCACTCCAGAGATTCCATTTTGGGAAAGATTGGTTGGGTTTCATTAAAATGGATTGGGAAGTACATCGAAAGACACTAATTCATACTACAACCATTGGAGCAGACATTGAAAGCATACTTTTTTACATATTAGAAACACTAAAATTAGGAACACTCCATTAATCATATAAAGTAGTTCTTTATTTTCTAAAAAAAAATTACATTCTTTGAATTTAAGAAACCATATTTTTTCCCCTGGAAATCCCTTCATTTTTCTGGGGCCTCCTTAAAATCATAGGTTAACAAAACAATCGATCTTTAAATATAAATAAATTAGGGCTAAAATATTTACAGGCATTTTGCGTAGCGAAGTTTTCTCAGCTTAGATCTTTAATTAACCGTATTTACCATGGTTTAGTTTAATTAGTTACTTTGTTTTTACATTCTCAAGTACAGTAAGTCAGTTATAATAGTTTACTTTGTTGTTAATTCAATTGAGTTTGTCTAGGTATAAACATTTAAAAATTTTGAAAAATATTTACTTTTGATTTAAGTGGTTTTTATTCCTTTTTTTCGTTTTATTTGGTTTTCCATTTATGAACTATATTTCATTTAAGTTTAAAGACGACAAAAAATGGAAAAGAGATGCATGATATTTTGTATTTGTATTAATTGGTTTTCATTTGGTTTTATCTCAAGTTATTTCGATTTTTTGTTTGTTTGTATGTTTGCAAGCGAGCGACGACGATTGACAAAAAATTTGTAGCAATTTGTTGCATTTAGTTTGGTGTATGTAGTTGGTTGGCCGCTGGCCCCTAGTCTATTATATAATATAATATAATATAATATAATATAATATAATGTAATAATATAATATATAATATATATATATATATATTTATATCCGTAACCGTAAACGTATCTGCATCTTGATCTGCACTTGTATCTTTAGCTGCGTCTGTATAACTATGATATATATTATGTATATAGTAAATGCGTTAAGTGTATAATATAGTTGGTATATGTATATAGAGCTATGTACGTTAATCATGCGTGTATATATGACTGCGCTGGTTTGGCATTGGGATCTACGAATGGCAGACGATAAAACTTAAACTTAGTTGAGCGAACGTTGCTTGACTTTCTTTCCAATTCGATTAATCTATCATTATATCGAACCGCAGAATCTGGGGTTACTATCTCGGGAATGGGCGGGGGGTCTAACTAACGCGTTAATGAGGTTATGTACACAGTTGTCTTCGCGTCCCTTTGGGGGCCCTTTTTTGGGGTGCAGAATATCACATAGTCAGACATCTATATATATACGACTACAAGTTTCGCCTCCTTAGACATGCAACGTGGAGGCGTCCAGTGAGTTCCTGGAGCATGAGTTCCGACCTATCAACGTGGCCGTGTCCGCACTGTCCGCATCCAGGGGGAAGCGCTTCCGCTGCGGGCGCAGGAAGAGAAACATGACCAGCAGGGCCAGGAAGAAGGCCAGCGCCCCGAAGGCTGGATACACCACTCCGCCCAGTTCGCTGGGAGTGGGCAGGGCACTGATTATATACACTCGATCTGTGGGTCGGATGTGAACGCGTTGCGAGTGCATCAAGGGATCTGGATGGTCCTCGGATGGCGATGTCTGCTCCTGGCTCCTCAGAGTGCTCGGAGCTCTAGTCGTGGTCGTGGTGGTTGTGCCCACCAACTGAGTGGTGTCCACGTTCAGTTTAATCGAACGTCTCATCAGGCCCGTGAGCTGTAGGATGAAAATGGGAGCAATAATATAGAGTGTCAATAGGTGATGAACATCATTTTCATTGGAAAAGATAGGTGAAATATACTGTGGGTTTAATTTTGGAGATCCTCAAATGAATCTTTTATTTTCCATGGGCGTTTTTTGCTATCAGCTATAAAAAAGTGTTGGCTTGTGTGTCCCAGTCATTTTTTTCCAATACGATAATTTAGCTATTAAGTCTGAGATATCTTTCCCGACAATACTAGCCCTTCTTTCGGAACTCCTAGATATTCTCCTCTTATACTTTTATTCTGGTAACCCTAAGAAGACTTACAAATAAAGACTCACCTGTGATGTGCATTTATTTCAACAATAAAACTCGTAATATCGTATTATCTAGACCATCTCACTTTGTATCTCCCTAATAATAATGAATACCTCCTTTACTAAACCCCTATATACCAAGAAAATGCAGACTCACCTTGTGCTTGCACTTGACCTGGATGTTGTAGACGGTGTCTGGCCACAGGGATAGTTCCGCCCGGGCGGTGTCCGTTAGCAGATTGCCGATCAGGCCGCCGCCGGAGACCTCCCAGGTGATGAGGCATTGGCGCGAGGCGTTGGCTATCATCTCGTCCCAGCCGATGTCTGTTAGGACGAGCGATTCCTGGCGCTGGGCCTTCAGGATCCTCAGTTCAAAAGGTGCCACCAGCTTTTGGCAGCACTGTAATGGTGTGACGGGGGAATTCCAGTATTCAGATATTCAGAACGATGCGAAGAAGCAGCAAGGACAGCGCCCCAGGCGAAGCACGAAGCGTTAAGGTAGGGAAAGGAAAGGCAAGACAGGAAAAGTTAGCTATTTGTCAATTATTTCTTGTAATTATGTGGCGCGCCCGCAGGTAGGCAATGAAATTTGTTCATCCTTCGGTTGCCACTTTTCGCCCCCAGCGACATCGTTTAACCCATTAGGGTTCTGGTTGTTTCATTTGGAATAATTCATGTCCTTTCACGGGCAAGTGCCTAAAAATGTTTACGGTTCGCAATTTGGTGCCGACGGAAAGGAAACTCTTTTCCGGCCGGTATGCGATAATAAATGAAGATTTAATTTCGAGCGTTTAAAAAGGCACTTCTCGAGAGGCAATTTAAAATTGTCAGTTTTATTATTAGAAATAAAATTAATGCCAAAAAAGGTTTTGAGTTCGCAATTAAAATAACTTAGATTTAAAAGAAAACAAATGAAACTTGAAGTAAAGAAATGTCTTGTAATTTTGTATTCTCATAAACTGCCGAAGGCATCTTTTTCTCAAGTCTTTTAGGTATTTCCTCCAAATTACTAAACATTCTGATGATAATTGCTCATATAATACAGTAGTTATAGTATACGGCCAGCGCAGCGAGAGTTTATACCTTTTCGAGCAGTTTTAAGTCAACATTAATGGGTTAATGACATCGTTAGGCTTTCGCACAAAGACAAACATGAATGGAAATACTTACGTTTGTGCAATCAACGGAATCCTTACAATAATGCCAGTCCTTGGAAAGCTGCAAAGAGCGAGAGGATAAAGTTAGTTAGTGGGCGTGGCCTAATCGAATTTTAAGTAAGCTAGGAAAAAGTAATCAGGACCAAGACCCCGGGCTGCCAGGACAAACAACAAGGAGTCATCAGCAGTCTCCTTTTCTCCCATCCTCCAACTCATGGTCTCAACAATAGACGCAAATTTGTAACTTGTAATAAAAGGCAAAGCAGAGAGAAAAAAGAAAAGTCTATGTAGATGTACAGCAGCGGTCAGAAGAATATAATATTAGGTAAATCAAATCTAGGTAACCATTAGCATTACAAATATCGTATTTAACATAATTATAAAATCTCGAAATTTAATGTATTTTTTATTATTACCATTGATTTATAGTTCTTCTATATAATAATTTATAACTATGGAAATTATGGTATTTTGTTAATATCCTAACCAAATAACATATAATATTAAGAATATACTAATCCCAATATTTAAATCTACGGACTATTGGTTAATTGCTTGTTGTTTAGAGCGAGTCTCCTAATCCTAATGCTAATTCTTTGACCATTTCTGTACACAAGTAAATGACCACAACCGTTTGTGTTCATCTATGGCGAATTGAAAATTTCACGCTCCTGGCAATGAGGATAATGAGGAGGATTGCCGTGACAGGATAAGAAGGATGAGGACGAGGATGATAGAAGGGGGATGAGCATGGGCATGGCAGAAGGATCGGGATCAAACCGGACTGCCTGCTTAGCCTTTGTCAACTGTCGCCTTAGTCTCAAAACAGCTGAACTGAACGGTGCAAAATAGAACAGCGGGCAGTACGAAGGAGTACCAGGCCCAGTAACCCCGCACCCATCTTTATTTCGGTTCCTGGCCGCAGTCCTTTTATGAATGAGCAGGCAGAGAAACAGACAGAAAGACAGACAGATGAATGAGGGAATGGGATTCGGAATGGGAATGAGTCGACAGCGATTAGAGATGGGTGCGTGACAAATTGTTATGACTCGGAATTTATAATATTAAAAAAATCAAACGAGGCGGGGCCCAAACTCAAATCTCAATTCTTTAACCATTCATTTTCGTTTTTCGGGGAGGGTTGAGTTAACCCTAATGCTGGTGCAAGCCAGATTTATGGTTATTGCTTTAGTCGGAATTTTATTTATGAAATCTTTATCTACAGTCTCACTTGATTGGTCATACTAAGTTAACTTCGGATTGAATTGATTGAATTGTATACTTGATTTTTAAACGAAATTATGCATGGATGGGAGCTTCAATTTGATAGTATACATAAGTATTTAAGACATCCCAACTACAACTAAAACTAAAATCAATAATAATAATAGCTGCCAACACTTACACCCTAATGTTTGTTTAACATGAACATGTGTAAATATCATGAAATTAAACCATATAAAAATAACTAGCAGTGAGCTATAATCATATAATTGGAGAACTTTTGGTCAACAAGTTTCAAGAGTTATATAACCAGTCACTTTAGCCTTAAGCTACTCGGGTTTCAATATACTGTTAAGATATTCTTTTCTCTTAAGATCATATTAAATAGAAATCTTACGTTTACTCAACTATTGTTTAAGCTAAGATATGAATATGAAATATGAAGTTTCAACTATTTTCAGTTTTAAGACCGTCTATCTGTCTACAGGGATCTTAACTTCTTTCTGAGCAGCTAAATTGTTTTTTTTTTTGTTGAGAACCTAAACTATTTCGATATTATCTTCTGGCTCAATCGTTAATGGGTAGCCTTAAGCCACTCGGATGCTATCCAGACGTACTTAGCTCTTAAATGCATCCGTACTTTCTGCAAATGTAGCTGCTACTTGCATCTGGATCGATCATCCATCACGCTGGCGAGGGAAAAGGAGAAGGAAAATCCCGCTGGACAATGGCTGCCATCACCTTTTGGGCCAACTTTGACGGCGGCACTTTGTCATCATTACACAATAAGGCAGGAAAATCAGTAAAATCAGTAAAATCGGGGAAACGGAAGGGGAAAGGGAAAGGGAAAATGAGCAGGAGCAGACGCAGAAGGAGAAAACCAAGCAGTTGTGGCAGATAAAAACGACGAATGCCAAAAGGAAAATCGCAAAGACAACATATTTTCCGCTCAATTGAATTTTTGGCCTCTAAAGATGTAGACGACCATGTAGTTGATGAGGGGAGGATTGGGTCGAAAAATCAGTATGAGTATGGGTATATGGATGAGGCCTGAACCTGAAACAACATGGGCGATAAGTAACAACAATAAGGCGTTCAGAGTGAATGAATAAAGGAATGAATGAATGAATGACCGACTGACTGAATGAAAACGCTGAACTGGCAAATCTTTCCCCTGATTTTTCCCTTCCATTTCTCTCGCTTCCGAGCAAGACTACACAATATTATACTACCTGGCCGAAAATGTGTCTGGGCCATATAAATTAAACGCAGGCAGCGACAACTTTTACATGCAATTGCCCTGGTATTTCACACCCCTGAACAAATGCACTTGAAGAAAAGTGTCAAAACTCCCACCTAAAATGGGAAAATCGCCTTTGATGTACGATTAAAACGCTCACACAACGCAGGTAGATTCGAATAACAAAATTCGGCAAATCCACGGGAGGTTGTTTTCCATGTTTCCAAAACTGTCTTTTATTGTTTTGCAACAATGCAAAATATGTACTAATATAGTAAAAGTAAGCGGTTTGAAAATACTAATTTTGTCTGTAAGTAAAACCTAATTCAACTGGGTACTCAAATTTTATCAGAGATGGGTAACTTTAAAGAGTTATTCACATAGGTTTTGTCTCTTATTTTTTGCAAGTGTGGGAACCCAGGCACATGACTCCGTAGGCCACATAAATTACCAAAGTTGGGTCAGTCAGTCAGTTTTTTGAGCGGCTTTTATGAGACACGTACGCATACGTAGATATATTCGATGATTCCACCACCAGCAGCGGCCGTACTACGTGCCTCGCATATACATCAAGATCGAATCTTCCGACGCCCGGAACCACCCGGAAAAATCTTCCCAACCCACTGGAGCACCCAAATATCGAACCACCCACACCCATCTACCCACCCAATGTCCAACATTCAACATCCAACATCCGAAGGAGGAAAAGTCTTTCATGGTGTTAATTTGGCGCTGATTGAGCAACGCATTCGCATTCCCCGTTCTTGGTTCTCAGTTCCAAATTCTCCGTTTTTTGGGGGTTGTACGAAAGGATGGATGGATGGGTGGATTAGTTCCAGTTAGTCCTACGAACCGAGCATGAAATTAGCTCTGCCTGCAACCCCTAAGAACTTTTGACTTTCGGTGAGGCGTCCTGCATTACCACCACTCAAAATCGACCCATCCAGCATCCACATCCTCACCCACCCGTGCAGAACTCTTGGGCGAACTTCAAAGGGCATAGAATATCCGATGGAGATGATGACGGTGATCAGGAATGCAGACAGCACACTGGCGAAAGCTTAAGTATTTCGTGCCTAAAATCTGCCATTTCGGACTAAATAATCAACAAAGATTGGCAGAACTAAAGCCGAAAAGCCTATCCCATTTAAAGCAACAGAATTAACCAGAACAGAACAGTTGAGTGGAAGAAATTTATGGCGAACATCTGCCATTTCAATCCGAATAATCAGTAAAGTGCACAAGACATTTTTAGGAGCGGATTAAATATCATTAATTGAAGAAAAGTTGCCATATATAAAAACATTTAAATATATTTGTGCAAATCATATGTGTATACCTATTGGTAACTACGCATGCTAAGTAGTTGTGCAATCTTATAAGATTATAAGTGCCACCGAACTATATTTGAACAAATTGCCGCCTTACTGTCGAGCTAAATCAATAAACTTTGGGTCTATATTTGGATGAGACTTGGCGTTTCCCTAGAACGATTTCGAGTGGCGTAGACTATCCGAGTGTCTTGGCCTCGGCCTCTCGAGTTTCATCCCATGTTTCTTTGTAAGTGTCGCCACAGCACTCATGAGCACTCCTCAAGTCAATTGGGTTGTCTGTTCTGTTCAGTTAAGTTCTGTGTTCCTGAGTCTCTCAGTTCCTAAGTTCCCCAGTTCCTCAGTTCCCCACCACCACTCGAAACAAAAACCCAGTCCAATCCAATCCCGTACACCTTGTCGCCACAGAGAGCTCGGCTTACTTGGAAATCGGAGATGATATTTATACTCTCGTATTTTTCCCACTTGATTTATTGTGTACTTTTGGATTACCAGTTTAAGGAGAGGTTCGTTTGAATCGAATTGATATGAAAATTTGATTTGATTTCATTTGATTGAAATTTATGAACAACCCATAGTTGTCAACCAAGCAACTCCACCCTCTGTTTCTGATATCGCTGACAGATCATCGCAGTTCCAGGAAGTCACGCATTTAAAAATCAACTGGTAAACCGTGGTGAAGTCTTTGAAAAACTACTCGCCGTCTTGATTTCAACTCATTGGGGACGTATTCAAAATTATTTCGTTGAGTAACGGATCGGATCGGTTACATGGAATGGAGGGGAAACCAAATCCCCGGGGGTTTCAAAGTTTGTTTTTAGGGGAAAAACACAAGAAAGTGTCAATTCAGCGTTTCCAAAGGGGGGTGAGTTTAGATTCTGTTTTCAGTTCAGTTCGATTGTAGTGGCATTTTCAACTAGGATTTGTTTGGTTGCAAAGTTTGTTATTCATATTGATTAGTTGGGTATTAGTTTTATGCATTTATTTGCTGCTTGGCTGTCGGTTCTTATACTTAGGAAAGTACGAGTATCAACTCGGAATTTGCGGTGAGTTTAATTAAATGGGAATTTCTCTTTCGTATTAGGGGTTAGTTCCGTAGTTTATTGCTAGATTATTCGATTTTATCAAATTTTTTGATTTGGAAAATAGATAGTATCTATTCCTAAGTGAATATATGAAATGAATATGAATACTTTCAAAATTCGTGATATGTTACTTGGATAAACCTTACTCTTCTAATATTGTTTTCAATTGCCTCTGATTTTTCGCGGTCATTTTTCAAAGATATTTTTTAGCTCCTTCCCCAGATCCCATTGTTCTCCCCACCTGCTCTATTTTAAAATATGTATCTTGGGCCTTTCAACTGAAGTTTTTCGACAACGTCGTCCATCCATCTCTGACAGCTTTGTACAAATTCCATCCAAGAGCTTTATTCCTGCATTTTTTTGTCTATATCCGACTCAAATTGAATCCCCGATCTCTATTCGCGACGCTCGACCACCCAGTTGACATCTTTCTAGCGACCGACGGACTACCTGAGCGGTAACAACAATAATAATAACCGGCAACAGAAGCAGCAGCGGCAATAGCTGCGATGTCAACCCGTAGATAAAAGATAAAAGACCCAGCGAGCGGGCATAAAAAATGACGTCGCCTTTAGGAACTCGAGCTGGGGAACCGGGAACCATTGTCATTGTCATCGATGTCGTCGAAGTCTCCTGTCTCTGTCGCTGTCTCTGTCCCTGTCTCCTAACCTTGAAGGTCGGTGTCTCTGTCTCACAGGGCACAACTGTCCCTACACACAGAAAAAGAATGGGGTGGGTCCGAGACCAATTCGGCATGACCTCAATTATGGTAATCTTAATCGCATTAAGTAATACCATGCGGAAGAGACCGATGCACTCAATAGAGAAAAGCGATGTTTTCTGCACCTCTATCACTCAACGTGACTGTGTAGAATCGCCGTTATGTGAAATTGTTTTTTAATCAAATACTTGAATCGTTAGAAATTCTTTATTTTTAAAATAATATCGATAATCCTTCTTTTTTTTTTTTTTTTTTGTTTTTTTTATTTTTTTTTTTTTTTTTTTAAGGGGGGGAGGGGGGGTTTTCCCACCCCAAAAAGTATATATATTCTTGATCACAATCCGAGTCTATCTAGCCCCCCCCTTTCTTTTTTTTTTTTTTTTTTTTTTTTTTTTTTTTTTTTTTTTTTTTTTTTTTTTTTTTTTTTTTTTTTTTTTTTTTTTTTTTTTTTTTTTTTTTTTTTTTTTTTTTTTGGGGGGGGGGGGGGGGGCCCATTTTTTTTTTTTTTTTTAAAAAAAAAAAAATTTTTTTTTTTTTTTTTTTTTTTGGAGTTTTTTTTTTTTTTTTTTTTTAATAAAAAAAAATAAAAAAAAAAAAAAAAAAATAATTTTTTTTTTTTTTTTGGACCCCAGGGGGTTTTTTTTTTTTTTTTAAAGGGTTTTTTATCTTCGGCTGGCCGAAGGTAGCTTCCTTTCTTTTTACACAAATAATTTCACTTACTCCAAACCCTTAGCACTTTCATATTCTTTTCAACTCTAGGCACACTTTTTTAAGAAATGCGGTTTCGAAAGTATGAATAAATTAAAAAAACAAATGATGCAGAACCCTTGTAACTTGAATACAATTGTAAAGAAATCAGGAATACCAAAAATATGCAAATGATATATGGTTAATTATTATGAGAATTTTAAAATGCATGTATACATGGAAAAGTTAACCAAGTCTTCAAAAATATTATCGAACAGCTGTCCGTACTCCGAATTACCATTTTAAAATTGTGAATCCCTAATCTTGAATGCTTTCTAAAACCGTATACACATGATTTTCAACATTTTAAAGGGTTTCCTAACTGCATGCGGTTGTCCTGCATTTTTTTTCCCTGTGTACCCACCGGGTTCCCTATCGGTGATATTGCCGCTCAACTGGGCATACAACTGTCCATCAAACGACTGGGATCGAAACGGATCCGATCCGGGGCCTTATCTTGGGTTGAGTCTGGTTCTTAGGTTTATGAGTCTGGGGTCTCTTACTTTTACTCTTATTCCCTTACGAATTCTTACCTGCTGATAGCAGCTTTGACGGCATCTGTTCAGCTGTTTGCTGCTGGCAAGGGGAGCGGCCGTGAGGGCGGGGGCGGGGGAGGTTGGATCCGCTCCAGGACTCGATACCGATGCCGATAGCGATTTGGATCGCGGGGGCCCCGCCTCCTGGGCGAAGGAGAGGGCGGCAAGGGCGCAGGCCATCAAAACAAGTGAGTGGAACATGTTGTCTTCTTTAACGTCCTCTTTTTGCCTTTTGCCTGGCTGTTCTTGTGCTCTCTGCCTCTGCTCCTTTCTCCTCCTTTCTTGTTGTTGTCCTGCCACTCCCTCCTTTTCTCCTTTTTCAATGGGCGTGGGCGTTGACTCGTGTGTGTTTTGTTGTGTGTTTTTGCGCGTGTGTTTGTTAGTGTGGGAGTGTGGGCGTGGAGAGCGGTGTGCTCAGCAGATTGATTAATTGATTGATTTTGTTTGTTTATTTTCGTATCAAGTGTGGTTGTTGTTGTTGGGGCTGGCACATAATAATCGCAGCGTCGACTGCATTTAGTCAAGCGGAGCAGTAAATCCTGTCTTTTGCTTCTTCCCCTCCTCCTTCTCTTTCGCCCACTCCTCCTCCTTGTGCTCCCCTTTAACTGTTACAGTTAACTGTAGCTCCACATGCTGCGCGACAACAACAAAGCGACTCTTTTATTTATTTTTGTTTTTGTTTCTCTTTTTCGGTGTCCTCTTTACTTGCTTTTATTTGTTTGACTTTGTTATTTGAGTACCAAGCACCAAGTACCGTAAGTACATACACTGGCAGTATAACAGTAGGACACGTGAAAAAAAATATGTAATTGTAACGTTTGTTAAATATACACCCGAAAAAGACGACGGCAATAACAAAAACGCACACCACACACACGGAAGACGAAGAACAAAAATATAATGTATACGCGATGTGTGCGAAATTTTTATTTCGAATTCAATTCCGGGGAACAACCAAATCCGTCGAGGGTTAAAAACGGAATGGAATGGACGCAACGAAAACAGACAGCACAAAAACCGAAATCGGCTGCAGCAGCAGCGACTCCAGCTATAGCTAGATTTGGCTTCAAACGAGTGATGAGCAAGAGTCCTGAAAGCTGAAAACATTTACAAAATACTATATGCTCGGTTTTACTTTTCTTCATACCCTTTAATTCTACTATTTTGCACATGAAAAATTTAAAAAAATTATTATTTTCGGCCGGGTAAAATTTTTTTTTTTTTGGTTTATAGTTTTTGTAGATTTTTAATAGTTTAATGCAGAAACTTCCACAAATTACCAAAAAGGATTCAACAGAAATGTGGTTCTAAATATCTCCGCTCGAACAGAGCTACGACTCTGGAAGCTTAGCATTCTGATACATTGTATACAATAACCTATGGGTTATACTTTTGAAATATTATTTCAAGTAATTTATATACATAGCTAGTTTTTTTGTTAGTCCTTGAGCATCTCTAAGAGCATAAACTCGAGCAGCGAACACGTTGGCATCGAACGCAGTTGTGAGGAGTTGGCAAGTTGCAAGCAGCGCACTATGGGAAATTCAACCCCGTTTTCTGGCCCAAACCCCATTTTTTAAAAGTCGTTCAAATAAAAATATGCTTTCTGGAATACTTTAACACCCTAATAAAACGGTACATATTCATACAGATTATGCGTTGGGATAAATAAGAACGATTGCTAAAATTTTAATTTGATATCTTTAAAATTAGGGAGTTATTTATTTGGCCAGAAAAAGTCGTCAGATTGCCCATAGTCCAGCGGAGTCTGTGAGTCTGGGCCCAGTGCTTTGTACTACTGGGTGGCAGAGGGGGACGGTGACTTTGGGGTTGGGGGCTAAGGTTGCACTGGGTTGCCTTGGGCTCGGCCTCTTGGGTTGGGTTGGATTGGATTGGGTTGCGCTGGGTTAGCTCCCGGGGTTAGCTCTTTGATGATTCTGGGGTGGCAAAGCAGAAAGCCAAAACCAAAAGGTTCTGCCTCTCACTCTCTCTTTCTGGCCAACCCCCTCCAATCCAATGCCCCCGCCACTGCGGACATGCAGATGAATCAAAGCGGCCGCTGATTATAGCAACAATATGGAACTGCCGCTACCCCTAACTCCCTATTACCCACCTCATAGGGGCATTGTTTATTTATACCCAGTATATGTATGCTGTATGCCCAGTAAATGTGAGGAGGTTTTTATAACCTCCATTGGCCAAAGTATAGTAAATTCTTTCAAAGCGTGTACTACATTTATTATTTAAGCCACGCTGCCTCTGCCTCTGCCTCGCCTCTTCTGTTCTTTTCTGCCCTGCCCCATTGTTTTAGTCTGTTTTCCTATGTCTGTTTTACCGTATTAGCCGCCCCATGCATAAAGTAAAGCACCCGTTTCCATTTTACCCCTACCCCCACATCATCCTCTATCCACATCCTCGCCCCTACTTCAAGTTTATTTGCATATTTTGACTTTTATGCGGCAAAAATATTACAGACTGCGCTGCCAGCAAACAATATCAGAGCCCCCTTTCCCCCTTTTGGCCCCACCCCTCCATCATCCCCAATAACACCAAAAACGTTAATAAAGCTAGAGAAGAGCCCGCGCTGAAAAAAAGTTAAATACAGTCATACTTCTGGTATTGAACATTTAAAACAAAAGAACAACACAAACTTTCCAAAAAATTTATTTCAATTTTATAGGCTAGAACTATTAACTACTAGTACAGTTTCATTTGTAACAAAATACTGCCTGAAGAAAGATATGGTATTCCTACCATTTTTGTATTTTTACATGATGTACTAAATACTTATTTAACATTTTAAGGTCTTGACTATGTTTTGTTGCAGGTTCTAAGGTAATCATAAAAAAATTGTTATTTCATTCGGGTTATAGAAGTTGGACTGTTTGAAGAGAAGGTGGAAGTGGAAGCCAGGCGAAAAAACATTTTTTCCCCGACTTATTTTTTTAGGGGGGTTTCGGGAAAAGTTTTGGGACTCGGCTTATGACTCCATTGCAACATGTTGCATGTTGGAAATTGCCAAAAAAACAAAATATGAAAAGAAATGCCCGCAAAGAAAATAGCAACAAACCATAGCGACAGGAGGAACAAAAAGTAAAAAATAGACAAGGTGGCTTCGAAATTTATGCGCCCATGGCGAGCCATTTGCAGTGCTCAACTTTTTGGTACAAACTCCCGTTTACTTTGGTCCCGAACCCACCCAACCCCACACCACCCCTTTTCGACATTCCCACACCCCCTTTTCCATTTCATTCCGCCGCTCTTTGAATTTCCATTTTCATTTTGCGGTTTTTGTTGTTGCGTGTGGCGGCCATCCAATAAATAAAAGGGCCGCAAAGCGAACGTGGAAAAAGCGTTAGCCTTGTCGCAACATTACGGCTAACTGTCGAAACGATCGTCACAGAATGAGGCAGAAACCCCCTCCTTGAGAGAGCTACTAAACATAAACAAGTACGCTGACTGGACGAAATTAATATTAAAATGAAGATCAATTTAATTAAATTCGTAGCGAGTTTTCCTGTAACTCTACCCATGCTTTTGTCTCTCAAACAGTTCAAACTAGATGGTCTTTTAATGGGTAAATGAATGAATAAAACATGTAATATATTAGTGAGTTAGAACCAGTGAAAATTACTATTAACCTAAAGATCAGATATAATATTTATATATAGGTAAATATTTATTTATTTACAAGGCTACCAAGGTTTATTTTTATATTTCAATATTGAATAATTGCAATTTCAATTCAAAAACTTTTTTAAATACTCAATTACGATGTTTCTCCCAGTGTAAAAGCAATGTTTCAAACAATCCCGCATTGCACTTGCTTTAGTTTTACTTCCAGTCCGAGTTTTGATTTACGCACTGCGTAACGCATTTTTGAAATCACGACCAATGTCTGGGGAATGGGTAAAACTTTTCCAAAGCATCTTTGACCAGTTCCCCTTGCCGCCCCGTCCATGGAAATCCCCCTTTTCTCAGCCCGATAAATCCAAAGTCCGGCAGCAGCTGGGCGCTTCCGGCGCAGCATTAATGAGGGGGTGGAGGCGGGAAGAGGGGCGACGGGAGTCATGTAAGTAGACATGAAAACGAAGCACAATGAGCACATCCGGCCTTGTTATGGGGAGGGGGTAGAAAATAGCGATAGGGGTAAGCGTACACTTCGGAAAACTAGTTATTTGTTTTTCCAATGACCAGCACAGTGCTACATTGGCTGCAAAGCTTCTTGCTTCCAAGGGAAAGTCTGCAAAAATATCATTATAGTTTTCCAAAAAGCCCAAAATTCGACGGATTTTATCCTATTGGTTTGGATTTTCCTTGAGGAATAAGCTATGAATTCAGAATGAAAATAATTTAGCTTTATTATTTATTGAAACATTTTATATTTAAATGTACTGCAATATCTTCCCGAATTCAAGAAATAGTTTCCTAAAATAAATGCACTTCATTCATTTTTGAATTTGGAAAAGCACATATTGCCTGCAATTTGTTACAGCCAGCTGAGGATTTTATACCAGTGCAGCTGTAGCTGTGGGTTAGGTGGGCCAGACAAACGGGCTGCAAAAAACCCCCACCCATCTAAAGCCATTAAGAAATTTGAAATTCTTGAAAAATTAGCAGTGCAACAAGAACAAGAAATAAAGAAGAAACCGAACCGATGCGAAGCGGAGCGGAGCGGAGAAGAAAGCGAAACCAGGCGAACTCTTCCCCGAGAATAATTAATGGAATTTTTGAACTTTTAGTGCAAAATGCCTGCGAGACAACTGCTTGAACAGCATTTTCATTGATGCTGTATGCTCCTGGCTGGATGCGCCACAAATAAATTTGTCGTCGACTCTCGACTCTCTGGCAGATTGTTGCAACTGCCCCTTAGAACTCGAAGCCCCAGCCCCCCAAAAAATACCAGGCGTTGTGAATGAAAATAGAGCAATTTGCATTATTCGCATTCGAGCAGATTTCGCTTTAATGAATTGCACACAACTTGCCAAGAAATAAAGATGAGCACAAAGTACGGTATGGTAAATGAGATACGTCTGCATCTGTCTGACTTGGCACTTTGTCCACAGGGGATGGTGGATGGGGATGGGGATGGGTATGGATTGGGATTGGGATGCATACGTAGTAGCCTCGTTCTCTATCCCCTCCCCCTGAGATCCCAGTTCCCCGATGTCTGATATTGGAATTGGGACTGGGGTGTCTGTATCTCTATCTCAGTGTCCCCGCAATCGGAATTCGCTCATCTCCATCAAAGTTAATGCAAAATATCATTTGCATTCGGTCCATGCAGATTGTCAAATGAAAAACCAGCCAACAGCTGTGTGTCTGATTCGCCATATTTCGTTGTCAAAAAGAACAAGGAAAAAATGAAGCACAATGGTCGATATTTTCAATGCCCTAGGAAATGGGTTTTAATCTTAGGTTATTAAAAATAAAATAAAAAAATTACCTAAAGTTCTTGTTGTTGTTCATGAAATATTTATGTTGACTCTCCAAAAGTAAGCACATACTTCATATAGGAAAATCAAACTTCATACACTAGAAAATTTATTCTTCAACGGCACCCCTCTGTATGTGGTTATTCGATCTGGTGAATAAAATCAAAATCGCTTCCCCGGTTGTCTGAATTATTCTGTATGCCCACTTCAAGGGTAACTCCAGGAATAAAAGCGAACAAACGAGCCATAACTCATGTCGGCATGTTCATTAAATGTGCTACGTTTGTCCAGTTAATGGCAGTGCCTACTGCCTACTTGCCACACCCACTGTAACTGCCACTGCCTTTTCGCCCACTGTCAAATGCACCGGAGCGGCCTTCAAAAGGGGGTGTTGTATTCGTATTCGTATTCGTATTCGTACTCGTACTCGTATTTTGTTGTCTATGTGCGCATATGGTCAGCTCATTGTGCAGTCAGTTGTATTGCCATTATCATCTGCGACAGCCATCAGTGCTCATCGTGCGGCGATTAATGCGCCCT